TGCCGTTCACTTAGAGTTTGTATACTCTTGGAAGTCAAGCTTCCTCTGTGCAAGGTGCTGTGTGCCCCGTCACACATTGCCCTTTTATCCCTCCTACTTTAAGCGAATCTCTCAAGGACCAAGATAACGGATCATGCAGAAGTATCATGTTTAATGTGTATACGGACGAATATGATGGGACTCCGTGTGGGAGAGTTCCGTGGGATACATGTGCTAATAGCATCGTGGTCTGCAAAATGCAGCCATATCAGATTTTTTGATTGAGCTATACTTATTCCAAAACATCAACCAAATGAATGCTTAAAATCCCATATTAGCAGGAGTACACTTGCACTGCAGCTCACAGCCGCTCTTGCCATCCAAGTGTGCTCGAGGCTCCCTTGTCAATAATACCGGACAATCCTATGCAATCCACCAAGACACACGCGGTGTAAATGCCTGTGGATACTACAAACCTATTCAGCAGTCGAGAGATTACTCGCTTCATATACAGCTTGGCTTGGATTTATCACCACATCCCAAATGAAACTTTGGATCGAAAGTTGTGTTTGCATTTAATGCAACTGTCACCGCTTTCTCAAAAGAGACTGGGCGGACCCGAAAGATCTCAGCGCGGCTACATCGGTACAAAGCCACTAATACGATAGCCGTTACGCTAAAAGATATTACGAAATCAGCCGTGAAAGCTAAACGAAGTGCGAAGGTTTTCACTTTCCGTTAATGAGTGTTCACGAGTCTAAACCGCATCTGCATATGTGCAAAGACTCGTTATATATACACATCAGGATTTGGTCTCCTCGGTCTTTAAGGTACCACATGTAACGGGGAGGCTGAGTACCTTTCAAAAAGAAGACATTGACTCAACGAGTCCACATTTATCAACACAGTCAGGGTGGGATCACTGAGCAGAACTCAGAGTCTTTCAAGTACCAAGCACTTGATTGTCCATTTTTTAGTTTTAAAATACATAAATTAAGTTGTGTACAAACCAAACCAAACTATATTTGTTGTTGACCCCTACAGTAACAAAAACATATATACGAGGCTAGTAGCCCTGTGGACCTCCCATTTCCGGAGTCCTATCATACCAGTACCAGTGCTAATACTTTATCGTGGAGCTCCAATTTGATACTTTTGTGCTTTGCACTAAGTTTGAAGGGCAAAAGTGACAATAGTATGATGAGTACATATATCAAAATATGGTACGTATTCGGTTGCACCTTATCCATCAAATAGTGTACATCAGAATGAATACACTCATTTTGTTTCTTAAATAAATCGTGCAATAGCAAACGCTCTACGAAGACCGTATCCCTGCTCGTTGCATCAAATAGTGCAGGCATAATCTGAATCAAAATTCACAACCGAACGTTTCCACGTAACTTGACATTCCACCAAGAGGTAGGCCCCGCAGCCGACGACCTCAAAACCCTATGTGGTGAGATATTGCAAGAAATCTGCAATGAGAGCGGTAACTGTGACTCATTGAGTTTCGATCCAACTTTTTACCCCCACCGACAAATATACCGTGAAGACGTTACAGAGAGGTTAGACAACCATTACGCTCCATTTATCCTCTGCACGTGCTGTGTGAATCGTGTCTGTTTCCTAGAATAGAAGATGTTACGACACTCCGCCGCGGATCATGCGACGACGTCAAGCTCAGACCGATAAGGCGCTCACCAAGCCGAAATATTGCGTCCGATGTGCAAAGAATAAAGTGACTCTCATAGACACAATCAAATAGTGGTTTAGATTTTACAGTTCGTCAGGACTCCACACTTTCCAATGCGTGCGAGTATTTTGCTCAACCAAAAAGCAAGCCGAAAGATCTAAAGTCGCCATGTGACCGCCTGTTGACACAGCAGTCATCACTTGCCAGGCGTATCGCCTGCGCCCGGTGCGTCGGTAACCCTGCAAATATGTCAGCAATCTAAAAGCCGTTCATTTGGAAATTAATGCTGGCAAAGGTGTCGAAAAGTAGATCACTCAACTTGCTTGCTAGGTAGAAAGAAATGTCGCATTACCCTACTTACGGCTTTACAAGCCAGTTTTAGTGCAGGTAGACGTCAAACTGGCATGTTGCTGAATGCCAGACTGTGCGGAGTCCAAAGCATAGCGTAGACGACGAGGTGGGAGCCCACCACTCCCACTTTCTGCGACTAGCTGCCCTGGTCGATTACATGAGCTTGCCAGTAGAGCTACCAGTTTCTGAACATGTGTTTCACTCGCTGTAACGGAATTTGCCCGCTCGTATACACACACTTACAGAGGAAGATTTTAATCAGCTAACACACTTCTCCGCGTGTTGCTTACTTCCAGCGAGCCGTTCATTTACGTGAACGAGGAGGAAAAGGTGAAGTGACAATAAATATGGCCAATAAGCCCAAATCTTTCCTAAACTGATAAGGTCTTCCAATCATCATATAACATAATTGAGGGATATACAAGATGTTTACTACACACATAAATAGTGGTTCGCACAACATATGCAAAGGGACTGACCCCATTACACCTATTCTCGTCAAACTTTTTCTGAATTTGAGACTCGATTATTCGTGAAACCATGCGAAATGTAACGAATCGAACGAGCGCGAAGCAAAATCGCGCCTCAATCCGAGGATGCGAAGGCGCAATGACCACTATCAAACTTGGATAATGCTCCAGTTCCGCGTCGAACAGCGCTTTCCCACGCTTAGCCAAAGCGTGGGCGAATGACAACCGTTGTGCAGAATCCATTGACAAGTACAGCTGTTCAGTGTATTAGCGCTACCATAAGATTGATCGTCATCACGAATTTTACGACCGCCGTGAACGTGTCACCTTAAAGTTTGTCGAATTCGTTAGTCGAATGAAAGCTTGAGTGATGGCTCAAACCGCATATTTCGGCGCCATAAAACCGATTCCGCGTGCTGGAGGAGTTTCACGAAGTCTCATGTACGTACCGTGCATCCAGCAATACCATCCGGATTCCGTCCAGACAATAGACACTCGATTCTGGGCATAGGGTTGTACAACCAAATCCGTGGATGTCTAACGTTAGCATAATGCGAATACCGCAGCAGACTTGTTGAGATACGCGATATGCTATTGGATTCCCATATAAAAGCGCAGGGATCGGGTGCCCTACGATATTGAAGATGCTCGCGAATTACGTGCAGTCATTAGTCGAATTCGCATCGAGAGGAAGAGAGAGAGAAGACGAAGGGACGGATCGCCTAAGCGGGATCCGTCCTTGGACCTACATCAAATACAAAGACGATATCGAACCAGTCGCAAAGAATACGACTACGAGACCCTCACGTATTCTCGTGCGCTGGACTGCCCAACCATTTCACCAAAAGTTTCTTCCGACCGCGGACGTTCCTCTATGCCACCACGTTCTCGGCATAGTAGTATCGAATTCGCTGCTGATCTTGAAGAGAGGGAGGTGCCCGAAGAAGGCGCTGCTTCGCTTCCTTTGTGAATGCTCATTAGTCTTCGTCTGGTTTGAAATTGCGATTGAAGAATGTGAAAAATCTCCTTTCACTGATGATATTGATGTGTTTGATCGGATGTCGAGGACGCAACAATGCGTGAAGGACACTCGGCGAGTCTTCTGCGACGTTCGAGACCTCTCAAGGCGTCACAAAAACTCACCTGGGGATGCAACCGCGAAACGAATTTTCGGGATTATAGCGGGTTCTGCAAGTGTTTCCTCCTGCTGCGGCTACTGCCGATGATGCGGAGCCTCCAGCCAAGCTTCCTCGGTTTATTCCGGGCGTCCCGATTTTTCTCGTCATTTTAAGGACGACGATGAGGCGATGACGCCAAGTCTTTAAGCCTGCAACCCTCGTGCCGAAGCCGTCGTATGCTTCTGCTTTACATCCAGGTTTGAATTTGCGTCCTCGCGATAGTAGGGCTTGATTAGCTTACTGGCCCCTCTTTGGTGTGTCTCAGCCAGCTTTGCAGGTCGAAGGTGTAATCGTTTCTATCGCATGACTCTACCCGGAAAGGACCAATGAAGCGAGGTAATAGCTTCGAGCTTTCCAAGCTTGAGACCGCATCGCCTGATAGGGTCTCAGTTTTAAGTACTACATAACCCATTTTGCCTTGACAACCTCGTCTATCTACGAATTCTTTCTGCGCATCTCGCGCATTCGTCATTGCGTCTCGCACCCGTGTGATCACATTCACACGACTCATGATGAATGAGCCCAGGGCGTCCTTGTACTTGCGCTCACATTTGCATCATTGATTGTTTGATTGTAATCAAACGATTTGCTGAGTCCCCTTCTTACATCAGAGACGCCACCCATCGCACAAACCGGTACTTGTGGGTGTCGCAAGCCATTCATAGAAATGGCGTAAACTCGGCGATGAATATACAGAATTGTTTATAGCAAACCCTATCAATGGCAACAACAAACTCCATTCTGCAGGATTGCAGAATGGAGTTTGTTGTTGTCATTGATAGGGTTTGTTCCGCACAGAAACATCTCAACGCGTCACTGACCACTGGGTTGGCAAGTTCTGTTTGCCCATTGGTCTCAAGGTACACCGCTGTGGACATATCCAAGCGAGTACCAAGAACTCGAAACAATATTCAACAAAGCCACTCATATATCGTGTATCACGATCAGAGATGATGACGTCTTGCGACCCGTGATTGCCAAAATTCGTTATCAATGAATATTCTAGACGAACCTTCTGCATCGATGGTATCGCTACATGGAGCGATGCCAACCGTCTTGCTGAGTCTGTCGGCGAAGACGAGCACTCCAGTTTCACCATCAGCATTCTCGGAGAAACCGAAGAAGAAGTTGAGGCCGGCTAACTTCAAAACGTCAACAGGAACAAGAAGGCTCTGCAGTGGCACTTGCGTGTGCCGTGTGCTCTTCACGCGCTGACCGACATCGCATGTTTTCACGGATGGCACTTGTACATGCGAAGCCACCCAATTGAGCACTGAATCACTGGATGGTCTTCTGACAGTCAAAGTGACCGACCATCGGCAGATCATGCGCCTCGTACACAACCTTTAGCTTCAAATCATCTTTATAGAGAACCACCGTGGCTCATCGCCATGTGCAACTTCATACTGAAAAATAACATCCTTCAATGCAAAATGACGCATCCGTGATTTTAAGTGACAAAGAAGCTTGCCATGGAGCTCCATATTACTCGATGAGAGTGCCTTGATGATCAGATCCAATTGTTCATCGTCAACAGACGCTCAACATATTATAGCGAATACATCTTTATCGATATAGCTAGCTCATAATCAGGACGACGTGACAATGCGTCAGCCAGTACATTCTGTTTTCCCGGATTGACGCGACCGTGAAATCTTATTATGCAAAGAATGACAACTAGCGAGCCATCCGCTGTGACAAGGGAGGATACTGAGATGAATATCACAAGCTTGAGTGATCAGTGTCGACGACAAACAGAGTTGAATCCATGACGTGAACACGAAAGGTCACCAGAGCACACTTTATTGCCATAAGCTCCTTGTTAGTTCCTTCCTGTTGGCTTCAGCTGTCGCGTTTGAAACGACACGACACAATTGTGTCTTTCTGAGGTCTTCTGTATTAGTGCACAACCGATTGAAAGCTCAGAAACGTCACATACCATGCTATGCGGCTTCGTATCATCAGCAAGTAATGTTGCTTCCATCAAGTTAGTCTTGATCTCATCGAATCCTTCTTTACAAGTGATGACCACTCCCATGGTACGTCCATCTTCAGCAAGTTTGATGGTGTGCGTACCATTACTGCGTAGTTATGCGAGAAGCGATGCAGACAGTTTGACAACAGATCCATTTCCTGAAATCTATTTAATTTTATAGCATCAACTACTTTACGATTGCTTTAACGCTCCCAGGGTTTGCACGAACGTTTTGTTCACCGACATAAGAACCGAGGACCAGTATTTTGTCAGCAGCGAAAATACATATTGCAAGATTCGATCGCAATGAATGTTCACGCATGCATTCTAACACCACACAGAGGTGCGCCAAGTGCGTATTCCGGTAGATCTGCCAATTTTGTTCTTCAAATGAACAAAATATCGTCAAAATAGGTCTGTGCGAAGCGTCGCTGTGGTCGAAACAGATGGGAGACCAAGCGATTGAGCGTTGACGCGCCATTGAATTTTCCTTGTGGTATCACAAGCCGCTCCGATAACATACCGGACGGTGTACCAAGAGCCGTCAAAGATACGCCCGCCTCCCTCTTCAAGATTTGGCAATATCCATCAACCAAATCAAGTACACTCAACTGTGTACAGCCGCACAAACGGTAAATGATGACATCCATACGCGGAATCGGCTTTTCAGCGGAAATCATCTGCAAAAATAACTTGTTATAGGCGTAAAAGATACTTCATTTACCATTTGATGTGCGCACACGAAACGTTGGCGCGCTATGAGGGGACTTGCTCATCAAGCCAGCAGCTTGCTTTCGAGCAAAGAACTCATCGATATACTCACTTTGCTTAAGCAAAAGTGGCCACTGTCGCAGCAATGCATGCTTTGAACCCGGATCACGATCAATTTCGTGTCGAACTTCACGTTCGGACGGAAGACCAGATGAAAAGTATCGAGTCATGTAGGCTGATACCTGCTGACCCGACCTCCACAGAAAACAAAAGATCTATGTTCCTATTTAATAGGCCACTCTGTGACTACTATTTTAAAGTTACCGCGCAGGAGTCGGTCAGCTGGACTTGCACAAGAGCTAGATCTGGTCCGCTCAATCTAAATGGAATGAGTAAATGAATGACACTTTTGCAGGCGTGCTACTCAGCAGCCAAGGAAAGTCCTACCTGACAGTACCCATCGTCTCTAATGCTCAAATAGAACTTTCACCTCCCGCGCCATATCTAATCCTTGCAGATTAGAAGATGCTTCAGACATCTCTTGAAGCATTCACCGATCCTTGAGCAGGGTTAAGGTATGCAAACTATCCTGGTTCAAGTTCCACTTTTCTTCTCTTCTCTTCTCTTCTCTTCTCTTCTCTTCTCTTCTCTCTTGCACAAATATCCTCCATGAACACAGCTACTATTGCCGAATAATAAAAGTATTCACCGACCTCTCGGCGTGGAGTGCTATTAGCTTTTTTGACGTAGTTCGTCGGCTTGTGCTCTATTTGACTGGCATATATGTATTTTAACCGCAAGCAATCTGCCATTTTTGCGGTACAAAGACTTGCGCTATCTATACCTGTATTATATCCGATGAGCATTATGGGATCGCATGTTGTTCTCGTGTAAATATTTTTAGCTTGACAATTGCTATCGCGGCGCGGTGTTGCCTAGCTTGGATCAGAGCCAATTTCCATGACAATCGGAGAATCGTTTTTATGCCCGGAAAATACATCCGTTTTAAAGGATCTTCAATCGTGTCAGAAGTGATTTAACTGAATAAAACCCGCGTTTTTTTGTTATTTGTTGTTTGGCAGAATAAATGTAGCGGGGTGCGTGCCATATTACAATGTACTGTCACATTTCAGTTTTATGCACCCAGCACTTCATTTTGATCAAAATAAATAGTGATACTCACATATTCAAAACTAGCTAGATTTGACACTTAAATGCTCTAATATATGTAATAAATCAAATTCTGATGAACACATTGCGTGAGGCAGCCCACTAGTTGCAATGTTCTTTCCTTTTGGGATATTGTCCCTCCGGTCTCGAACATAACACTGTTTCTGAAAATATACCACGGCACTCCTAAGCTTTGCTCTCAGTACAAAGAACAATAACATATTTGTATAAACCTGCGATATTGCCAACCAGAGTTTCTTTAATTTAGCAAATTTATTCTTTGCCACCACGACACCGATAGGAGCTGTTGTCATCAATCATTCACACTGAAAGAACTCAACCTTGGTTCAGGACCGTATATGTTACTTAAAGACCATCTGTGAGAAAATGAGCAGCTGCTTCCCACCGCATAGCTTTCAAATGGCATAACGCTTTAACAGAGCTCGTGCATTTACTATTGTCGCGCCAGACATGCCTTCACGTCATGTTCGACACAATTTTCACGTCGAGAGATCATATTTTTTGATGATAGAACAGCTTATGGTTGCAGAATGCGTTTTTTGTGGCATATTATTTCGCCACATCAGAAATTAAATAGCCTGAGTAACGTTTAAATGAGATACCGGCTGATATTAGAACTATTAGTAATAAAAGGTATGTACTCGTACACGCGCGCTGGCAGCCTCACATCTAGCGATAACAGAAGCGCTGCTATTGAATGTAGTCGACCTTTACAATGAGTATTGTATCGATATAAGTTACCATATATTTATGTCGCTTTCCACAAAGCAAACCAGGTGGCTAGTTGTAGCGAGGACTGTGAATTTTGCTCTTGAATGAATCATACGAACCAAGCCTCAATGCGCCGTTAACGTAAACTATTTATGTCAAAATTGCTTCTGTGGAGAGTGAACGGCAACATCGCTGCAACGTTATTTGAACGCTTTCTATGGTATAAATACATACAACATTGCTGTCCATTGAAAATTCGAGCAAACTTTGGAAAATTACCACGTGGAAACTACTTGGTACGGAATGGGAAGGTGCTTGTCTGTGAGGAAGAGGTCCGTGGGACACGTTGGTACGCAATGTGCTCATTTTAGTTTTGTAGTTACAGATGTTAAAACGTATATATATAGCATCACTTGGCTGTTTAAAGCTTTAAAGGCATAACACTTTAGGCCTGAAGCTCTAGGTATCAATGAAATACTTCCTTCAGAGGTGGACTCATGAGATCTGAGGTTGCGTTCTCTCTGCGTTTGTTAAGACATATTCTACGAGTCAAAAACTTCTCGTGTGCAGAATGCACAGCAACCCTGATGCAATTGATGGTTTCGTAGTTATGCCCACGACCGCGTCTTGAACAAACTGATTTTTGGGAATGAAACAGGACTTGTTAAAGTTAAATTACCTATACCCGCTTCTATAAGACACACATGATAAACGTTTGCCTATTATTGTCAAAAATGTGGTAAGAATCTGGCGTACCATCGGCTACATGTCTGGAGGTACTGACCGGCTATGAGATTGTGCTGGCGGGACATACTTTAACCTGGTATTGTTAGGTGTACAGATGACACCCACCGCAAAGTCGTCAAAGTATTGAGGGCTTTAAGGACATTAACCAAGGATTTATCGGACAATTTTGATGGTTGTGAATCCAGCAATGCTCCAGACAGAGATACAATGGGCCACACTTTCGGTCTCCAAGCTTGGAGGCCATGCGCAAGAATGAGATCTGACCAGGCGTATCGGGTGCGGTCCAAGCTCAGGTCTACCCGCAAAGAAAGATGTGAGCCAGGGAGCAATGCCCAGAGACTAACACTTATCACCTCAAAGGTGAATGACGCTCTTACGGGGAGATAAAAACCACAATCTCTATCAAGATGGCGCGGCTCGTACTGAGACCTTCCTCTTCATTTAACCTCGACCAAGAAGCGGCGGAAGTCGCATAGATTGTTGAGACCGAAAGTGGAATGTCTATGAGCGCGCCGATGCGATGGGCTTAAGGCAGAAGAGAGTATCGGCTCCATAGTAACGTTGATCATAGCGTCAACATGATCAGCTTGCTAGGTTTACATAAGTACAAGGCTATATGTCGAACCTAAAGATACCAAACTAATAGTTGCAACAAAGAAAGTAAAACTCCACCTTACATACAATTCCCATTGATCCTCGAACGAGAAAGAATGAACATGGACGGTAACGGTGCAAAACGGACATGCTCAGTGACTTTTAAAGAATATAGTAACTGTCACCGCAACCAAAAACATGTTCACGCTATTGTTGCGCATTGACCGCTAACATCCACCTCTCTTGACAGGTGGACTAGCAGAGGTGTATTTATGACTCGTGAAAGCTTCAGATGGCAGAATTTGCGTGGCACTCATAAGATTCAAATTCCCGTCAATCCTCTGATCATCGCGTTAAAGCCACACCGTACTCAATATGAAATCATATTCAGATTGAAGTCTTGAACGAGACGTTATGAAGAGCTATTCAAATTCGCAGACACCACTTATCCCACATTCTATCAGTGTCTCTATCGTAATACACGCGGACACTGTGATTCAGTCCATCTGCGTAGGCATGCGTAGTGCATAATTGTAAGATGATCTTCAATCTTCCAGGTAATTTCAAGGCTTCATAAAGCCTGGAATGCTAGTATACGTCACCGACAACCCTCGCCTGTTCAGACAAAGTCACTTCTTTCTTAGGTTGGTTCTCAAAGCCATTAATCTCGATGGACGTTGATGGAAACTAATTCCTTACCAATATGCGCAGGTTACTCGCCTTTTCCCTACAATGGTACGTCGACCAACTATTTATAGAGCTTGATTCTCCTCATTACCGCAGCAGGGGCGCAAATATTCTAAATGCCACGAATGTAACAACTGCGAGTACCATGGTACTGCTTCGCGGCGATGAGATCATGGTATACTTTTTCAGCATGATTAAATCACACCATATCCGGCATGTTCGAAAACCTTTCATTTCCACTTGCTTATCGGATCCTCGCGGCATGAAATTTGGTCTTTAAATCAGGCGCGCCATAAACTTCATCATGGACTGAGGTCCGATGATCTCGTATGATCTCGTGGCGAACCAAATGTTGTGGTTCACCTTCATGGTGACAATAACCGTTACTACAACGAAAACGGCACAATGGAGGATTGACGCTGCGCTTACAAACGCACAGAGGTTTTGATCGTGTGCTGTTATCAAGAGCAAGACCGAGAGCCTTTACACTGATTAGCTTTAATTGTAGTCTGTTCTGGTGATCACGTGTATTTGAAAAATGCTACTAGGTGAATACAAAAAGGTACGATTACTATCTTTTGCAGTAAAACTGTATTTTTCTGACGTTCCGCTAGCACCCCTTTTGAACCATGGGTCATTTTAATTTTGCGCTTTATTATCCTCGCAATTACCGATACACTGGAACTTTTCAGTTATCACAATTTCACCGGATGCAATGTGAATCATTTGCAATTGTAAAATTTTGGATCGAGTGCGATTATACTAACAAATGCTTACCAACATCACAATGCCTTCTTCATTACACACTCAATTATGTAATTAAATACTACACCGGGATCTACACTGCTAAAATGTGACCTCTCACGAGCAGCTGCTGCGTACTCCTCTCGCTGCACTTTAACATACTTGCTCTTCTAAGTGTACTTGCACCGGGAATTTGCTCTCTTGAAAAATAAATGGCCTAACTAAATCCAGCCGAAACGCAGTCTTCGCGATCACCAGGTAAAATAAAATGAGGATACCAAGATGTTCTCCAATAAAACTGGTCGTAGCGACTCTACGAGTCCCGACAAAATAACACCGCGCTCACCCGGCCCAGCTGCTCTTCTAGGAGGAGCCGTTTGCTGCGTCAAGCCAAACTGCTGCGGGTGTTAGCCTACGTGCCGTTTAAAATCTACAGGAAGTTTCCGCAGATCTAACGATGGTATTTGGCTCGTTGCAATCGAATTGGATCTGGTTCAAGGGGCTTAGCTTGCTTTCCTGCAAGCTTAGCGTCATGCTGACTTCGTTTAAAATATCACGCTACGACCACGGCTTCATATTGTCCAAGGATTCTCACCGCGCTGGAGCCCAACGCCCCTTATACCCCCTAGCATTAATATCTGGGACTCCTGTATCCTCCATGGAAGATGTAAGTCAAGTGCTTGAAACCAATGAAAGTGCCAACGAGTGTCAAATTCAGTTGACGCACAAGGTAAACCAATGAGCCGGCTCACCCGTTGCAGAGGGGCTGCTGTATATCTTTGCTTAGACGAAGCTAGGCTAAGGTCACCGACCTTACGTTCTATACTAGAACCAGTAGGAGTGTAGCGGATCGCAATCCGCGAGTATTCACAACCTTAACCCAAGATGCAACCCTGAACAGTACGTCCGCAGCTTCAAGGAAAGCGCATCCCACGACCTCGGCAACTGAGCGCTGCACCCGCGCCCACCACGGGCGGCGGATTACCTCGTCGAGAATTTGGAAAAAGTCAACTACTAGCTAGATAGGGAGGGTGAGATTCACCAACGGCGCGGCGTTAGCCTTACTCTAACCTTGCGGACACCGCGTCCTTTTCCCGACCTCTCGACTTCCGGGAAAATGGTATCATTACCAATCGCCTCGACGATGCACAGGATCAGCAGTTGGAGGCTACCCACAGGGCAGCTCTCGGCATCATTGAGCTATATAGAGTCCTATTTTGACTCTCGATTTGTCTCAATAACGTACCGATGTCGTGAATATCATTTATAAAATAATGAAGATAATATCGTGGTACCTTTAATAAACCTATCCGAGTACAGAAACCATCAATTAACTAAAATCAGTACTGGATAAGTTATAAATGTACTGAAATTGAATTGAACATAGTATTATCTATTATTGTTGGAATCATCACATAACCTACTCAAAATGTAATGAAAATCAAATGCAATACCACCCACCACTGGTTAACATCATGTTTTTTACTTTTTTGCACAACCTTTTTTATCTATTTTGATGCTGTGTAACATGTGATTGATTGGGGATTCATCAATGTTGATCATTCTAAGCATGATAAAAGCGAGTACCATGTTTGGTATAAGTCGTTCGTACGTATATACGCGTTGTCTGCCTTTCGACTTTGTCTCGGCGATAAGGATAGCTGGCTATCTATTTCCAATAGACCCGGGATATCAAATTTGGTGTAAAAAGACCACGCTTTTTGCCGGATTTTGAACAAACATCATTTGCATATCCATATATCTGGATGAACTCATTCTTCTTAAAAAGAATAAAATGGTTACAAATTGA